GTTAAGCTTTGTATATATTTTATCTCCAAGTTTATGTATATATTATATATTACTCAATTGTCGCATCATTACTAATATCTGTATTTGATCTAATGTATTATTAACACTGTATTTGTATTATGTTTACTACTAAATTAATGTGATGCAGATGCCCCATTGTTCCCATTCCTATCCACCTAATTTTCTTCTCATTTCTTAACCACTTCTTATATTATATATCTTCTTTCCACTTATCTGGGCTATACCTCAGAGTGTGGTCTTTAACCTTTCTATGTATGTATGTATGTATGGTATTACAACAGATGTCGATGGTCATTAACAGAACTGTGAGACAACCAGACACAAAACAAATACAAGAAATAAAATAGAGATTATGCTTGACAGTGGTCATCCATTCACAGCAACAGACAATACATGGAAGCTGTTTTGTGGTTATTGGAGAATGATCATTGATGGATTTGTCAAGAAATGTGTACCAAAGTAGGTATTGCAGCTTCCAACGTTTACCACATCTTTAAGACGCTGGGAATGCACAAATTGCTACATGATAGGTGCTTCACATTCTGAATGATGTGAAGAAAGACAGTAAACGGAAACTGCTCAAATTTACCTACGGTATTAAGCAAAAAGAGAATCCTCCTTCACAAGGTTACTACAATTGACAAAATATGGCCAGATCCTACAAATCAAATCAGAATGCTAATCAAACAAGAGGTATTGCTAATCATTCCCATGCTACAAGAAATGCAATAAGAACCAGATAAGGTAAAAGTGTTACTGATACTATTCCAAGGATTCCTCTGTCTTATTATATACAATTGGGACAGATAGATACTACCGCCACTTCCTTGATTATCATCCAGCAATTTGTTCAAAAAGGCCACAGTTGCTATAACATTCAATTGTCTTGATTAGCAATTCATACACCAATTCTTCATCGGAAGTAAGGACATTGCTAAGCAAATGGTAGTTGGTAATACTGAAACAGCCACCACATTCAACTGACCCAAGTCCAAATGAATGATTATCTGAAAACAAAAACTTCTTAGATGCACCCACTTCCAAGACATTGACAGCATCCTTTCTGTCTTAAGGCAGACTCTCCAGATACTGGCTAAATATGATGCTGACAGTGTTCATCACCTTGTAGAAGTTGTATATTGTATATATAATGTATGTATATTGTTCACAAAAGTTGAACAATATACATACATTACATATTATATGTAATGAAAGAATGAAGTGTTTACATTTTGATAGCAAAGAACTTCATAAATTAAAAAAAAAAAAAAAAAAAAAAAAACTTACGTAAAAACTGTTTCATACTGGGGTAGCTAATGTTTTTGAGGCCCCTTCTGGGCTCTCTTCAGGCTATTGTGCAAAAAGGAAGTCAGACGTCGCTTTTTTTTATATCATCCCAGTATGTGAAGACGAATAATTCATAAATTAATTTAGTTTTCAAATTTGTTGTTGTTTGTAGTTTTGTTGTACAAGGGCCTTCTTAGACCAAGGAGTACCAAGAGATGACAGATATAATAGGTTAGTCTAACTATTTATGGCCATGATTTATAGCATTGAATATAATAGGTTTATGCTTTATAGCAGTGTTTTTCAACCTTCTTGAATATGCGACCCCTTTACAAGTTAAAAAATTTTGGCGATCCCCACGGCCATATTAAAACTATGTCAGTGATTTAAAAAACTATGTATTTAATTTTCTTTCTGTTGAGATTTAAATATCGATCAAAAAACTAATTGTACTGTAAAATAAACAGGCACAACCTTCTCACTGAAATTGTAGTTTTTTTATTGTAGTGTAGGACCTACAAACACTTGTCTTTTTCTTTTACCCGTGACCCCATGTATGGCTTTGCGACCCACAGGTTGAAAAACACCGCTTTATAGGAAGATGAGCATTTGTTGGATTTGGCCATTATCTTTCAGCAGCATACACAGTGGGTTTACCTTCATTTGGAAAGGTTTGTTGCTTTAGTTCAGGGGTCGCCAAAGGGGTCAATATAACATTATTGGGGGTCAATTATCAAGCTTAAGCTAAGGATAAGGGGGAGCTAAGGATCAATCTTATCCATCTCATTGATTGTCAATTATAAAAATTATTAACAAATATACAATAAATGAAAAAAAAATGCAAAATTAAAAGAAATGTGTTAAAACAATAAGTACTTTGTTTTGCTTGTAACATAAACTTTTTGGTGGGAGTTGATGTGAGGTTTCAAAAACTTGTAGGCAGTTGACAATGAAAAAAGTTTGGCGACCCTTGCTTTAGATGGTATTCTCTGGTCCTGTGGTATTATGGACAGGTTTAAAGTATTGATATAAGATGGTAAATGGAATCTGACTATTAGTGCATACAGGTAATGATTTTGTCATCAATAGATCTTGTGTTTCCCATTTTTAGGCTGTTATAATTTCATCTTTTCCATTGATCTGTCGACAGCTTCCATTTTTTAAGACATGATTTTATACCGTGGAGTTCATTATTGAATTGGCTGTCCCATTCCATTTGCTATTTGTGAAGTATATGAATGTTTTATGGCTAAAGAGATTTATAGTATAAAAAAATTGGGCTTGTAGGGTTGTGGGTTGGGAAGACTATCTGCTATTTCATTTCCCTAGATTCCATACGTTCAAAAATCCAGAAAAATCTAAGGTATTTACCTGATTGATATAACTATTGTAGGAAAGAATGTATTTAGTTGACAATAGGATGGTCAATTGTTATTTTGCAAGATTGTATGCAGAGCACTCTGTGAGTCTGTAAATAATAGCTTGTTGCTGGCTGTAACATTGTATATTTTGAAATTCCATAGCAAATGAATAGTGTTCTGCTGTAAAACTTGTGTCTGCAGGCAACCTTATCTGTGCAGCATCAGACAGGAAAAAAAGCTACTCCTGCTATTGCTGTTTTAGATCTATTTATAAATACAGTTATGGCATGACTGTATGAGGATTAATGTTCTAGAAACAGCTGTTGGTACTCAGTTTGGAATAGTTTGTTTTGGATTATTAGTAAGAGATATATTTCTGCTACTGGATGAATATATGGGGAAGTTATTTAAGTTCTTCCTGTATTGTGTATGATAAAAAGTTTGCTTCTCATAGAACAGTTTTCAAGTATGTTTTTCAGGCTAGTGCCCCTTATCTGTTGGCTAACAATATTTATTAGTACATAATATTAGCAAAATATCACTTTACAAAAAGGTTTTCATTTTTAGACATATGTTTGCTACATTGATTTTAAAACTATTGTTGACTTACATAAAACCAAACACCACCATGTATTGTAAACCAGTTAAAAATTTCTAAAACTATACAATGCTATATTTTAAAAGATGATACAATGCTAAATTTTTCCAATAAAAGTCTTACATACCATAATGCAATTTTTATGTAAAAAATTACTTGCAGAGTTCCATTTTTACATTGGATACAGTACCAATAATATTGCACATACCATCGGACAGCAGTCATATACTTCATAATGCAAGTTTAGCACTCTGCAAATCATCCCACAAACTGCACTTCCACATTAAATAATTTGCATCTACATATTTATAATTTGGTTGCTGTCCAATGAGGACACTAGTCCAAAACACGTATTGGCATCTGGAACAATTAGTTTAAAGACCGTAAAGTACATAAGAAAATAAAGTGAATGTGAACAAATCCAGTGTCTAGTGTCAACTCTTCATAGTATTTCAAAATATAATAATCAAAGTTAACGAAAAAGAGAATAATCTAAATATTACAGGCTGCCAAAATAGAACAAGATATCACAGATGAGAAGTAGTGAAGATATCTTAACCTAACTGACCAATGAATGACCTAAAGATTAGAATTTAAGTGCATTCAAAATATAAAAAATGTCCTGTGTTAAAAAATTTTTTACTTTATGCAAAAGAATATTTGGAAAGGATAAAAAAGCTTATTTTATCAAGTAAGATTTTGTTTAAACTTTTCAGTTAATAAGATTAAGCGAATAATTTTAAAAGAATAGTTTAATTACTTTCATCTAATTTTACTCTGTTTTTTCACTATTAAATCTTCATTATATCAACATCAAAGTAATCTGTCTTTACTTTCTACATGAATCATTTGAAATCGAAATTCATTTGACATCTATATTCAGTTGTGATCCAAGCAGAACATTAACCAAGTAAGAACTTGAAATATTAATCCCATTAAATTTTATGATTTTATATTCAAAAATATAAAAATAAAAAATTTCTAATGAAGCATTGTAAAGGAGTCAATGTCCGATCGTTATTTTATGTTTTGGGGCGTTATTTTTATTTAATTAATTTTCTTTTCGGGGTTCTTTTTTTGTTAAGGACAAACTCCTAAGCACCAGTGACCATAAAAGAAAAAGCAAACTTAGTTTGCATCGGTGCCCGATCCTGGAACGACATCTTATGTAAATTAAGACAGTGCGGAGCTGCACTCAAGGTAGAATAAAAGGCGGCACATCCACGACAGAGTTAGTTTTCAGGTGACAACTGTGGTAGAAACGTCTGGGATCAATTAGAGGAAACCGTATCTTTTTGCTGTAGAATCCTTTTGAGGTGGAGATAAAAGTTTTGTTGAGTTGGATATTATAAGTATTATTGTCTTTGATTATTGATTTTTGTTGCAACTTTTCCAGTGTTCAATTATTTAACTTACTGTTAGGACAATTAACCCATTATTGTTTTTTTGTCAAGATAATAAATCTTATATTTATTGTGAATTATATGTGGATGTGAAAATTATTGGTTATTTTTATTTTGGAAAGACCAGGCCTGGTACTTCAACCCTACTATTGTGTAACCCCTTTTTGTTTTGTAAACGGTGCGTTACAGCATTTCATTGTGAATTGTATACTTTCTATCATGTCAAATTTAAATAAATATTTACATTGTTTCACAAGATAGGACATACACATCATTTGATTGTTTTATATATTAATATCATATATATGTTTGTTAAACAAGACTACTTACTCTTGCCATTTGGTCAACCTTCATATCTTCTAGTGATGGATAAAGTGGCATCTTGAAACCTGCAACCATAAAATTTTTAACTTTATTAGTGAAACTTCTCTTTCAAATATAAGCCTGTAGAAACAAATGTTATTTATACATGCACTTTGTAATAAAAAAAAAATTTATTTAAATTTTAGTACAGAATTTTTCAAACATCTGAAAATTTAAATTATTCTATTTCATATGACAAAAAGCACTTTTTTAATTAGCAGTTTATTATAACACATATAATAATATTTTATTAACATATAACATAAGCAGAACCAATTTTAAATAATAATAAAAATTGTTACAGATATACATGCATATTATATATTTAAAAACAAGTTATTAAAAATGTTTTTGATTCTTTGCTATAATCTCTCCATTCATGCAAGTGTAATTGGTTTTACAAAAACAGCATATAACTGGAACAGCAAAAAGCTGTTTAAAATAGGGATATGTTCCATATTCTTAAATAAAGTATTTTACTCTTACTGGGATATAAAAGTTTTAGCTAAAATTTTTACAAATACATATGTATGCAAGAAGTTATTGATAACAAAAATACTTTGATATAACTACATTTAATTCTATAACGCTGATATAAAATTTAAAATTTTCAATCATGTTAAAGTAAATTTGCATTAATAGAGAAATTACTGTATTTAAATAAACTTAAACAACAACAGACCTTGCAGATGTAAGCACAGATTTATCTAGTTTAATATATATTTTTAAAAAGTTCAAGTAACTAACTATATCTTTATGGTAGAATTATCTAAACTAGTGATGTCCAAACTGCAGCCCTGAGTCAAATCAGGATAATGATGCATATTAATCCAGCTTGCCAACGTATTTGACACATCACTTATATATTTATTTAAAACTACCCTTTGGGCATTTGACATTTTCAAAATGTTTAATACAAAACAAAAAGAAAAAAAAAGAAAAAAGTAAAAACAAAATAAAGGATAGAATATATTATATATATTCTATCCTTTATAAACCAACATTTCTCAAAGTGGTTCTTACAAACTCCTGGGAGGTCCTCAGAACCGCTGACAGGGTCAGTGGCAAATTAAAATTAATTTTGAGGTTTATCCATGAAAGGTTTAATAGTAAGCAAATTGATTGTGACTCACTTTCATTATTATGAAAGTTAAAAATAAATAATGATAAATAAATTGGTAGTCATTTTTATGTCCAGAGTAAAATATAAGTATAGATAAGTACATAAAATACAAATAATGACAAGCATTGCACGATGGGAATATTAGCTAAAGCTTGCTTATTTTGAAAATGGGCTCTGTGCTTTATTTATTGCAAGCATATATAAAATTAAGCCGCCCTATAGTTTCCGCCAGTCTACATAAGGTCCGAAAACCGCTCCCTTTTTTAAAATATTAGACAAAACTCCGTAGGTCGAGTCCGTTATTCTAATCCGATCTCTTATCTTCGGTCGACTCGATTACGATAGCAAAACATCCTCTTATTTTATACAATCAAAATGTAAATTTTTTATATTTCAATTAGATTACATATTACATTATTAAGAAGCAATTTTATGCTTAAGAAATTTTTGTCTAAAACACAATTAAGTTTTACATTTAAAATAAAGTTTTCGGAATACGAATCACACGAAAATTCCATGTACGAACGACGATATTTACAGCATTAGCGGCATATTCCAGGAAATTCTATCAACAATTTCTAAAACACAAAGCTTCAACTGGAACTTTCCTCATCTAGCTTTTAAGTTATTTCAATAATAAAAACAAACATTGACGTACGAGACATTTAGTAAAAAGATCTTTGAGCACCAATTTAGCAATTAATAGAAGCGAAGAGTTAATTACACAAAGTGAAACTGTAAGAATGTAAATTACGTCCTCCGTCTTACATTGGTTTACGTTAGCGAAAATTTAAAGGGAAAGAAAAGTAATTTTATATAGAGAAATTTTGTTTGGAGTAAGAACGTTGCTGGCAATACTTATTTGTTTGATTATGATATCCAATTAAAGTTTCTTTCCGTAAGTCTGGACGGCTTATTAAAACTGCGCAATTAAAATCAAAACAGAGATAATGAAAGCGACTGCCTGGTGTCAAGCGCAATTCTACATTTACCATTAACCTCTATTAATTATTCCAACGGAATTTCGAAACATAATCGATCGGAAATATTTCTGTATAAAAATCACATTGGAATTCTCGATTGTTTTACGGTTATTTTCATATTACTCACCTTTCTCTTACTCGCTTCTTTTAACAACAAAGAATGGAATATTCGAGTTTTACACGTAAATTACTGCGTAAATAGGCGCAATAATCGGGACTAATGAGAAAAATCCGTCTCCTTCGCTCGATGGAAAATCAAAAGAGAAACTTCTACCCTATCTTCGATATCAATTTTATGGCGATATTTTTTCCCATGACGTCAAATCCTCACGTGGAGATGACGACTCCTAGGACTATTGCGTCACCGATTGAAATATCCCGATTTCAGGGATTTTTTTCCAATAAATTATTACGTTCGGCCACGATATTTACGTATGTAGTGTAATATCCAATCGGCGAAAGGTAAAATGTTTATTTAAATTTAAAGAATTCCGGCGCGAGTAATTAATAATTTAAGGAAAAACTGCGTAATTTTATTTCGGACGTCGAAAATCAAAAGTATAAAATCGTCTCGTAGACATTTGAAAATTCTTATTTATCGATTCCCTTAATCCTTAAATAATCCTTTGTGGTTAGCAACTGGATAACGATATAAAATTTCAATCGTCAGATATCTTACTGTTATTTTCCTCCCCCTCCGCATTTATCTAAATATTAACTTTTGTCCTTTTCCGAACGTTATCCCGGTCGATAGGATCTAATCGTTGGCCATATTTATCTATTGGCGTATTGTATAAACAATATCTACGGAAAACCAACTTTCCAAATTAACCCTCTCCCCACGGGAGGAATTTCGAAAAACCCCTTTATAGTGTATACATTCTCTCGACTTAAGTGTGTAGCAAATTTCAACTTTCGCTCCTAATTGTTATTATTATTATTATCGATCCATCTCGATTATAAGATTTAGCAATCTCGTAATTCTTTTAAAATTAGAGGATAATCGATTTTTAAAAATATGTTCCGTCTCGCCAGCACTAAGAGCGCCTGTTTTTTAGCTAGCGCATTAGGGGTTCCGCCGGTCGTGGGCCCGGGTGCCGAGAGACGGACTATCCTCCGAAACCTTAGGAATTGAGGTTTCTCCATCCGTTCGGATTCCCCGCAGCGGTTGGCCGCCCGAATATATAGCCGAAGATTAATCTTACGATTTACACCAGAAAATAAACGACGGGATGCTTTAAAAAAATAATTAAATGATATCGTCTCGCCATTACAACATTTTAGCGTGTCTTCCAGCAGATTAAGATGGCGTTTCAGATTGTACTTTTCTACGCGAATACGATTTATTTTTATGTTCTCCGCCTCCCTTAAAACCTAAGTTAACAGTTTGTACCTCGAGTTTCCAATTACCCCGTACATATAGTATTATTATTGTGACAAAAGACACTTGGAAAAAGAGTAAATGCCGGGTCACGACGAAAACAACCGAGCGATGGGAACGGAGGTCCGATGCATACGGGCAGATTGTCGGTTAAATATTCTTCAAACGCCGGGTTGCGGGAAGGGCACGCCTCTGTCTTCGGAAACACCACGAAACATTAATTAAGGAAGAGAAACGGACGAAAGGCCGAAATCCTCTTCTTCTAACGCTTTACTTCCGAACATACGCAGCAAATTACTTTTATCCGAAATCAATTACTTCCTAATTACAGGTATCTAAATGCCCGAATGTCTACTCTCCTCTCGAATTTCCATCCTAAGAATGCGTTAGTCCGATCTTCGCAGATGCGAACGAATTATGTTAATTGTTAAACTATCGACGAGATTTGATTTCTTTAACGAATGACACAATTGCCAAATAATTAAGTTAAATCGGGATTCGCGAAAGTTTATTTAGTTACGTCGTATTCTCGCGAAGTAGTTAAATACGACAAATTTACGACATATCGTATCTGTAATTCAAAGTTCATCGTAACTGAATTTATTATTTGACAAAATTCGGTGATCCGATTTCGGGAGTGTACTGTACCGTTTCGTCCAATAGCGACACGGTCCGGGGACTTTCGAAAGGCTCGCGTCGGAATTAAAACGAAGAGGAAAAGAAGGCGTCATTTTACTTCTTCCAAAAATACAGGCGTTGATAAATGGAGTCGAAAAAAGGACACGTAATAATAGAAGAGAGGATAGATCCAACTGTTATTTCTCTCGGAAAAGGCTAATTATTGACGATATGCCGGTTAATACGTTACCTATGGTTCCAAAAGGCCTCCTCCCGGAGGGGAGCCGCCGAGTTCCAAACGTCACTAGTTATTGATTCGCGGTAGTTCTCGAACAAAATAAAAGAAAAAAAGGAAACGTCTAATAAAAACGTAGGTAATCTAACGGAAACGAAACGAACCTAACCGAAGCGCCACCATTATGCCTAATTTGCAAAGTGGATAGTGTTAGGGTCGAGTTATAAACTCCGTAACGTAACCGTATCGATATTCGTAAATGTTTGCTACACCGGTTATCTATAGCAATAGTTATAAACTACCGCACGGCATTTTCCGTATCCGTAAAGGAACAAACTTGTTTGATTTACGAAGCGGTCCATCGTCAGCATGCGCAAAATTATCGGCCGTGTTGCCAGATCTAATACTATAATTATTGATACATTTTATCATTTTTCTCTTTTTTATGACCAACGTAACTCTTATCTTAAAATTTTACATTATTCAAAACGGCATTGTCGGTCAAAAGTTACGTTTCGACCAATTTGTCAAAGTTTCGTAAGTCGCTTCCGGCGCAACTTCCGATTGATGGCGCACGCGCAGTTGGTCAATTCTTCGTCTCCCTGCCATAAAAGTTTGATGGATCCGGACTTTTCTTACGGAATACGATACGGAATTTATAACTCGACCTTTAGTAATATACAGTAGGTAGGAGCGTGGATGAACTTGGACGTAAATGGAGAGAGATTGCGAAAGCGTTTCGAAGGAAAAAGGTCAGTAAAATTTCTATATCGTGCATTATAACAATTCTGTGTATAATTTTAAGGCGATTGCGAGAATAGTACTGTACGCTATACACGTACAGTCTGCCTTCCAAACGAGGATTCAGTTTCTCGATTAAATTTAAATCGTTTTCCTCGACATTCGATGCTATCGGATTAATTCCGTTAACAAAATGTCTCGATCGACGGACAAAATAGAAGATAAATTTTCTATCAATATGTAATTCGTTGATCGATAAAGTTAAATATTTGTCTGCCAGCTCGAATTGTCGTGACTTACGACAACCCTCTTATAACCACACTTATTTACGACGACTTTTGCCAATACCAAATTTTGTCGTAGCGCAATTTACGACCAACGTTCGTCGTAAGTTGCGCTACGACACTTTCGCCAATCCGGGCCTTAATTTTTATCTTAAAAATATATTTAATAAATACATAAAATACTCAATCAAAATTTTAAAAAGATGCTTATATAATCTATGTTTAAAAACTCTTTTATTTAAAATGTAACATAATTTTGTTATATTTTAATAAAAAAATAAAAATATAAATGTTCAAATTTATTAATATATATATATATATAGATATAAATGGCTCTGAAACAGCGTTTTTCCGAGGAGAACTTGTCCGCATTCTGATCGTTTACGTTGCACCCTCACGTAAGGCTTGATATGTCGTACGAGGATTTAAATAAAAAACTACAATTTTTTGTACTTGCTACAATTTGAATGATTGAAGCTGAACTTTGGTACAACCAATGGGAAAGAAGAAATGTGCCAAATGCCGAACAGAAGGAGATAGAACCAGCTGCACTAGTTAAAGAAACGCGATTGTTCTACCCATCCAAAAACGGGCGCCTCTTATCTCACTCGCGCTACGTTCGGCACCTTACGCGGGGTAAAAACTTGGACACGGTTAACGATGACAGAAAATCGGCTTGTGCATAAAAAGAGGGTGCTGGAAGCTAAAAATAAATTTGAGAAAGAAATTTTTACAAGATTTAGAAAGAATTCCTGTAGGCTAGTGCTGAAATAAGATTTAGGTAACGTTCGAATAGCGTTGCAACTAATTACTTTTTTAGCGTTTTCAAATGTTCAAATAAAACCATTTTTTAATAAATAACGTTATCCTATTATTGCCTCTCCCTGGAGAAAATCCTGACTCATTTTAGTACCACGGCCGTCTCATTCATAATTCAATTATTTTAGCTTTAAATTTACGGTACGTAAAAGGAAGAGAAATAGGGGCGTGACATCACGATTTTCTATACATCGTGTTTATTATGTTCGATATCACTAACAAAACCGACAATGTGGCTTAAAATCGCGGACAAATCACGAAACAAGAAACAACTTGGCTTCATTCTTTTAACAGCAGCCAGCCAAGTGCTTTTATCAACTATTGTTTGCGAAGAATATATTTCAACTTTTCCCAGAACCATTTCTCTCCCCACTTCAAGTAAGTTCTCGTCGAAAGCAAACGACGAAGATCGTCCTCCAGCTCCTTCGAATTCTCCAACTCTTCCACCAAAACCAAAACCAAACGATAAGCTTGGTCTTCCATCATCCTGTTGTAAGCCACGCGAAACTCCACACTGAACCACATGCTGTCCAGGAACTGTCGAGACAACAATATCACCGTCCTTCTACTGTTAAGTACAGAATGCACGATGTTCTCGCTAATAGGGCTACCCGCCAACCAATCACGTTCGTGAATACAAAGGCGATAAGTGGGTTCCAG